AACCCCCACTGAAATTGAGTGTTTTGGCCAGTTTGACATTGCTTTTGATCATTCAGTCATCTTGCTTACATTTACATTAAAGAGGCACTTGTAGGTCAGACAAATATAACATAACAGTTATAATGAAATAACCACAAATGTCTTTTCTGTGCTCACAGCATTATCAGTTTTATTCAACCCCCAAGTGACATTCAATCTTAGTACTTAGTACAGCATCCTTTTACAGTTATAACAGCTTTTAAACGTGAAGCATAGCTTGACACAAGTGTCTTGCAGCGATCTACGGGTATCTTCGCCCATTCTTCATGGGCAAAGGCCTCCAGTTCAGTCACATTCTTAGGCTTGCGCACTGCAACTGCTTTCTTTAAGTCCCACCAGAGGTTCTCAATCGGATTTAAGTCTGGTGACTGCGATGGCCACTCCAAAATGTTCCAGCCTTTCCTCTGCAACCATGCTCTAGTGGACTTGGAGGTATGCTTGGGATCATTGTCCTGTTGAAAGGTCCAACGTCTCCCAAGCCTCAGGTGTGTGACGGACTGCATCACGTTTCCATCCAATATCTCCTGGTACTGAAGAGAATTCATGGTACCTTGCACACGCTGAAGCTTCCCTGTACCTGCAGAAGCAAAACAGCCCCAAAGCATGATTGACCCTCCACCATGCTTCACAGTAGGCAAGGTGTTCTTTTCATCATAGGCCTTGTTCTTCCTCCTCCAAACATAGCGTTGATCCATGGGCCCAAACAGTTCTAATTTTGTTTCATCAGTCCACAGAACACTATCCCACAACTTTTGTGGTTTGTCCACATGGCTTTTGGCATACTGCAGTCGACTCTTCTTATTCTTTGGAGACAGCAAGGGGGTACGCCTGGGAGTTCTGGCACGGAGGCCTTCATTACGCAGTGTGCGTCTTATTGTCTGGGCTGAAACTTCTGTACCCACATCTGACAAATCTTTTCTCAGTTCCTCAGCAGTCACACGGGGACTTCTCTCCACTCTACGCTTCAGGTAGCGCACAGCAGTCGAAGTCAGCATCTTCTTTCTGCCACGACCAGGTAGCGTTTCAACAGTGCCCTTTGCCTTGAATTTGCGAATGATGCTTCCTAAGGTGTCTCTTGGTATGTTTAACATCTTTGCAATCTTCTTATAGCCATTGCCCTTCCTGTGAAGAGAAATCACCTCTTCTCTTGTCTTCCTGGACCATTCTCTTGCCTTCACCATGTTTGTAACCACACCAGTAAATGTCTAGAAGGAGCTGAGTATCACAGTCATTTTAAAGCTGCCTAATTGGTGCTTATTATGCTTGATTGCTGCTCGGTGACATCCACAGGTGTTTTCAATACCTGATGGAAAGCACCTGTATGAACCTCTGTTCTTCAGAGTGGTAGTCTTTAAGGGGTTGAATAATTGTGGCAATGAAGAAACCACATAAGAACCATTTACTACTGTATTACATAAACAATTGATGTCATTTTAGTTGCATTTGGGTAGTTACAACGTCCTTGTAGGATTTGATTCTGAATACAATTCCAAATGTACACTATAGTCCCTAAACCCCTTTACAGCATTGGGGGTTGAATAATTTTGGACACAACTGTAAACCAGAGACCAGTATCCCCACTGCCACTATCACTACCACCACTACTAGGAAACAAACATGAAGCTTTTTGGTTTTCTCCTATTCTCTGAAGGTAAGACATTTCTATTTCTCAAAATATGGTATTACCTAAATTAAAATTAGTTGTTTGTTGTTTAATAAACTAAAAAAAGAAAAATTGTTTAGAATGTACCCTGTAAAAAAGAAATCAACTGCCACAAAAGTTTGATTTCTGGTTGAAATTGCATTTTATTTTCTAAGTAGATATTGGAGTTGATACTAAAACTTGAAAGTGCAAAATCTGGCGCAGCTCTGTATTGAAACCAATCAGCTTCCATTTTTTTATCCAAAGCTTAATTGAACAAGCTGAACTTAGAAGCTGATTGACTACTACGCACAGTTGCACCAGATTTTGCACTCTCCAGTTTTAGTACATCAACCCCATTGAGTTCTCTGTGATTTTTTACTATACTTTTTCATGGAAATATTGGAATACTACAAGACCTGAAAACAATACCTTTTGTTTTCCAATTTAATAATAAATATTTAGGAATTTTAATACATATTAGAATTATTATCTACCATGTCTAATGAACACTACTGTAGGATAAAAGCTACAAAAACAATGCATGTCACACAATATACTAATATCAACTAATTCATAATAAATAAAAATATAGGATTTGGATTGCAGAAGAGAAATAAAACTGAAACATGGAACTTGATAAATATACATCTTTCTGAAACTGTTTTCACATTTTAAGCGATTTTTTTTGGGTGGATTTTGCCTGACTTCATTTTTTTAAAATTGTCTCTCAAACACTAGGCATATGTTTATAAAGCAGTGACTGCAGCATTTACCAAACATTTTCTTCCAGGTGTATATGTTTTAATATACAAGAACTGATTCACCTGCATTTAATTATTATTATTATTATACAGTATTTATATAGCGCCAAAGGGTATGCTCAGCGCTGTACAGTAGCAAGGGGGACAGAACATGAGACAAGACAGTAACAAAACAATACACGAGGGGTTCGAGGGCCCTGCTCTTTCGAGCTTACAATCTAGGAATGGTTGTAGATGTCACATACACTTCTTTATGAATATTTCAGGGACAATTATTTTTATTTTATTTTTTAGGAAAATTATTTTAAAAATTTAGGGGAAAAGGATGTTCAAAACAGATATTAAAATTTGCTCACCATTTCTACATTTGCCATTTTTTGGAATGTGATCGCCAATTATTTTCTGTCATATGCCTAAAGGAGGGAACACCTAAAAAATGGTAAGTGAGCAAACTGGTTGCTGCAATTTGTAAGTGACAATGCATGGCAAACTGTTGGCGCTATATAAATCCTGTATAAAAATATAATATTAATTAGACAGAGGAAGAGGAGATGCTGTATTACAATGAATTATGTTCACAAATGGCAGGGTATGTAAATAACCATGCAACTTTTTTGATCTCAAAATGCCTTATTAAAATATAGTAGATTGCAATAAAATTTGGTAAAAAAAACAGTTATGGGATGATTCTTCAAAAATATTGCTGCTACCCCATATGGGATTTTTAACCAGTTCAATATCGGACACTTTTACCCCCTTCCTACTCAGGCCAAATTTCAGCTTTCAGTATTGTCGCACTTTGACAATTGAGCGGTCATGCAACATTGTACCCAGGGAAAAAAACTTTGCATTTTTTTCACACAAATATAGCTTTCTATTGGTGGTATTTAATCACCACTGGGTTTTTTATGCTTTGCTAAATAAACAAAGACCAAAACTTCTGAAAAAAAATTGTTTTTCTTCGTTTCTGTTAACATTCTGCAAATAAATACCCTTTCTTCATACATTTAGGTCAAAATGTATTCTGTTACATTTCTTTGATGAAAATAACCCAACTTGGTGTATGTTATTTAATCTGTGGAAAGTTATAGAGTCCACAAACTATGGTATATATATTGGACAATCAATGAATCCGGCCAATCTAATTTCTTGAGGCCTGAAAACACCTGGATAGTACAAATACCCCCCAAATGACCCATTTTTGGAAAATAGACAGTCCAAGGTATTTATTAAGAGGCATTTTGAGTTTTTTGAAATTGTAATTTTTTGTCACAATTTTTTTGGAAAATAAAGAATATAGAAAAAAAAAAAATTCACAATTTTTTTTTTACATATATCGTCACCAATCTAGTACAGTGTTATTATATAACTGATGGGGTGGAAATCAGGGGCACTGAATGGTGACAGTATGTAAAACAAGAAAAAAAAATCATTTTAAAAAATTTTTCCTATTTTTTCTTTATCATTACATTTTTTTTCTTTTTTTTTACTATTTTTTTAAAACATTTTTTATGCTGCGACCAGACAAATACAGCATTACCATAGTGACATTGTACTACTCTGGGCAAGGGATCAGGATTTTATTTGTTATCATATTTCGATTGCTTATACCAATGTATTTCATTGATATTAGCAACCATTTTTATGAAAAATGGTTAGAAAGTTAATCTCCAAGCACAGAAAGGTTTCTTCACAGTGAGAGCTGTGAAAATGTGGAATAGACTCCCTCAAGAGTTGGTTCTGGCCAGCTCAGTGGATTGCTTCAAAAAAGTCCTGGATTATTTCTTAGATACACAGAATATAACTGGATATTAACATTTATAGGTAAAGTTGATCCAGGGAATATCTGATTGCCTCTCTGGGGATCCGGAAGGAATTTCTTCCCAGCAGGAGCAAATTGGATCTTGCTTTGCAGGTTTTTTTTGCCTTCCTCTGGAACAACTGTGGGTGTAGGATTATATTTTTTTTTCTGGTTGAACTGGATGGACTTTTGTCTTTTTTTAGCCAGACTAACTACGTAACTATGTAACTACAGTATATTCACGCATAAAATGGTAGCTATTTTATTTTTCCCTCCTCTGAATCAAAGCAACATTTTTAAAAGGTTAAAGTGTATGTCCAGAATTTTTTTTTTTAGTTTTTGATAGGTTGGAAAGAGATTAGAGCCCTGCTGGGTTTATGCTGCAGTCCATGAGTTATTTACCCAGAGATCTTTAATCACCTCCCGCCTGCCATATAGTAATATGACGGGCGCAAGGTGGTTCTCTCGTTCTGGGAGGACGTCATATGATGTCCTCCCATTCTCACTGCGCATGCGCGCGGCTCAGGGAACGCGCGGCACGGCGATGAAGGAAAGAGCCGAAGATGTCGGCTCGGTATGGTGATCATCTGTGTCCAATCACAGCTGATCACATGTAAACAGGGAAATGCCGGTTATCAGCATTTCTCTCCTCTCGAGCTGTCACACTGACAGAGGAGAGGAGAGACGGTAATCGGCTTTCCGTGGAGGGCACATGTACACTGATCATCAGGGCACTGATGATCAGTGTGCCCTGATGATCAGTGTAGCCCCAGCAGTGCCACCTGTCAGTGTCCATCAGTACCTTATATCAGTGCCTCGTGCCAGTGCCCATCAGTGCCACATCAGTGCCCATCAGTGCCACATATCAGTGCACACCAGTGCACATCAATGCCACATATCAGTGCCCATCTAAACTGCTTTTCAGTGTTACCCATCAGTGCCAGTCAGTGCCACCTATCAATGCTAATCAGTGCCACCTATCAGTGCTGCCAATCAATGCCACATATCAGTGCCAGTCAGTGCCGCCTATCAGTGCCAGTCAGTGCTGCCTATCAGTGCGCATCAGTGCCGTCTATCAGTGCCTGTCAGTGCCGCCTAACAGTGCCAGTCAGTGCCACCTAACAGTGCCAGTCAGTGCCGCCTATCAGTGCCAGTCAATGCCGCCTATTAGTGCCAGTCAGAGTCGCCTATCAGTGCTGCCTATCAGTGCCAAATATCAGTGCCACGTATCAGTGCTGCCTTTCAGTGCCCATCAGTGATGCCTGTCAATGCCCATCAGTGCCACCTACTAGTGCCTCCTCATCAGTGCCCATCAGTGGCACCTATCAGTGTCCATCAGTGCAGCCTATCAGTGCCCATCAGTGCAGCCTCATTAGCGCACATCAGTGAAGGAGAAAAATCACTTATTTACAAAATTTATAACAAAAACTAAGAAAAAACATTTTGTTTTCAAAATTTTCAGTGGTTTTTGGTTTGTTTAAGAAAAAATAAAAAACCCAGAGGTGATTAAATACCACCAAAAGAAATCTCTATCTGTCACAAAAAAATGCTAAAAATTTCATATGGGTACAGTGTTGTATGACCGCTCAATTGTCATTCAAAGTGCGACAGCGCTGAAAGCTGGAAATTGGCCTGGGCAGGAATGGGGTATAAGTGCCCTGTAGGCTAGTGGTAAACTTACTGTTCTGCTAACAATGCCTTTATCAAACACAAGTGATGGAAAATCAACAGTTGTGATTTTAAGACTCCATTTACACGGGACACTTCTGAATGATGGAAACTGCTGGAAAACGACTGCTGGATGACTGCTGGAAAACGTAGGTTAAAAAAGTCTGTTTAGCCTGGTTTGCATACCGCGTCTATGCGCGTTTATGAGCGTTTGCATTTAGAAGCGTTTTTTAAAGATAACCTCAGGAGACCTTTCAAAATGCCCAGAATGCACTGAAAAACAGTAAAAAAATTAACTATTTCAGACATTTTGGGAGAAATAGAGAGAGCAGAAGCAGAGAGAGCAGTATTTGTTGAGATTAGCTGTGTTTTTTTTTTGTGGTGTTTGGATGTGTTCTGGCTCATTTCTGTGCAGAAATTATTGCAGCAGTGTCTAACATATTTTCTTTCATGCAAAACCTCAAAGTATGGTGTACCGGGTCCATTTGAGTACCGGGAAAATGCTTTTTCATGATGAAAAAAGGCTCTGGATAGAATCTGGAAATGGAAGAGTTAAAAACATTTTCCAATTTCAAATGCTTATAAATGCAGTTAGCCGTGTTTACGTGCGTTTACAAGTATTTGGCGTTTGAAACGCTGATAACATCTACTCTTGAACGCAAGTTTGGTGAGTTAAAAAAAACGACTGTAAACTCAACTGCCTGTAAATAATTGTAAATGACGATGTGTACATGGACACATAGGAAAACATTAGGGAGAGTTCAGGGGCTGCTGAAAAAAACGCAGAATAGCTCCTGAACGTCAGTTTATCAGCTGCAGTGTACATGACACCTAAAAAATTCAGCTTCATGGATATTTGTATTTTTTATCCAGTTATAACATTGTAAACTGTGCTTCCCCCCCCCCCCCCCCCCCATGGAGTAAAATGTAATGTAGAAAAATTAGTATGGTGATAGATTTTGTTTTATAAAAAATAGAGGTAAAAAATAGTTCCGTTTCTGAAAACTGTCTTGGCAGAATTTTAGCACCAGAAATGTCACTTACGAATTTTCCTCTCAAATAATTTTATTAAATGTGTTATACATTTATCACAATCACACCTTCAATTTCCACACCTTCTAAATATATAGTGGCTTACTAAATGTTAACTTTAAAGGGTAACTCCACTTTCATGGGGGCAAAAAATAGCAAAAAAAAATAAGCTAGCATGTACAAGTGCGACACAAGTCATATTGTACTTGAATGTTATTAAAAATTACCTTTTCTTTTCAATCTGCAGTGCTGTAATTTTTTTGTAAAATGCAATATGGCTACCTGCAGACGTTCTGTACACAGAATTTGTACATAACACCCCCAGCAACATAATTTCCTGCTTGTCTGATTGTCTTACTGATATTCCCAGAAGTCTAGACTAAGATACCAATGAGATTTAAGACATATCAGACTGGATGTCGCTCCACTTCCTTAAACTGAACCTCTCCAAAACCAAGTTTCTTGTCTTCCCCCCAGCCCGGACCCCACCCCCCATTGACTTCTCCGTCACATCCAACAACGCCACCATCAAACCCGCCCCGCAGGCCAGAGTACTTGGTGTCATTCTGGACTCCAACCTATCCTTCCAGCCCCAAGTCCAATCTTTAACAAACTCATGCAGACTCCACCTCCGCAACATCGCCAAAATCCGCACGTTCCTAACCCCAGAAACCACTAAAGAGCTCATCCACTCCCTCATCATATCACGACTCGACTACTGCAACTCCCTCCTCACTGGCCTGCCTCGCCGCTGGCTATCCCCGCTTCAGTCCATCCTGAATACGGCTGCCAGACTCATTCACCTTTCCAACCGTTCCATTTCCGCCACCCCCCTCTGCCAATCCCTCCACTGGCTTCCGATTGCGCAATGGATCAAATACAAAATCCTAACACTGACGTACAAAGCTGTCCACCATACTGCCCCGAACTACATCACTGACCTAATATCCAAGTACCGCCCAGCACGCACACTCCGCTCCTCACAGGACCTCCTTCTCTCTAGTTCCCTGGTCTCCTCCTCCCATGCCCGCCTCCAGGACTTCTCCAGGGTGTCACCCATCCTCTGGAACTCCCTGCCCCAACCCATCAGATTATCACCTACTCTACTCTCCTTTAGGCGCACCCTGAAAACCCATCTCTTCAGGGAAGCCTACCCCACCCCCTGCTAACTTGTCGACATCCTCCACTCTTCCTACCACCCCATCCCCCACAGCTATCTCCTCCTGTGCCACCATCCCCTCCCTCCTAGATTGTAAGCTCGAAAGAGCAGGGCCCTCAATCCCCTCATGTTTTGCATTGTATTGGTATTGTTCTGTCACATGTTCTGTCCCCCTTTGTAATGTACAGCGCTGAGCGAACTATCGGTGCTTTATAAATACTGTATATAATAATAACAAAAATGTCACAATTGTCAATAAGAAATCACATCTTAGTCACCTGCCACACCACTGCAATTTAAAATCGCACGGTTTGTGTGCAATTTCAGCGTGGTTTTAGTTGCGATTTCTGAAGACTTTATTGCACTTCAGTTGACGATTTTCAACAATTTCTTGCAATTTGCAGTGCGATTTCCATTATGTTCTATGTAACTGAAATCATAACAAAATTGCAGAAAAATCAATGCAAGAACTACTTTAGAAATCGCGCTGCAACAAATTGCACATGTTAAGACATTCACATTCATTAGATGCAATTTCAGATGCAATTTCAATTCACAAATCGCACCTTATATCGCACCGGTGAGACCGGGCAAGAGGTTTCCGGTCACACCGCTGTGATTTAAAATTGCGTGATTTGTGTGCAATTTCAGGTGTGATTTCTGAAGACTTTATTGCTACTTGTGAAGATTTTCAACAATTTCTTGCAATTTGTAGTGCAAATTCCATTATATTCTATCCATGTGAAATCCCAACAAAACTGCAGAAAAAGTAATGCTTTAGAAATTGCGCTGCAGCAAATCGCAAGTGTTAAGACACTGACATTCACATTCATTAGATGCAATTTCAGGTGCAATTTCAATTCACAAATCGCACTGATGTGACCAGGTACTAAGTCACCGGTCACATGGCTGAGATTTAAAATCGCCGATTTGTGTGCAATTTCAGCGCGATTTCCCTCTCTACCAGTCCCTCCACTGGCTTCCCATTCCCCAATGAATACAATTCAAAACATTAACAATAACATATAAAGCCATTTATAACTCTGCCCCAAATTACATCACCGATCTTGTCTCCAAATGTCACCCAAACCGTCCTCTCTGCTCCTCGCATGACATCCTGCTCTCTAGCTCCCTTGTCTCCTCCTCCCATGCCTGTCTCCATGACTTCTTCAGAGCCTCCCCCATCCTCTGAAACTCTCAACCCCAATCTATCAGACTATCGCCTACTCTGCTCACTTTTAGGCGATCTCTAAAAAGCCTATCCTGCTTTCAGCTAATAACAGAATCTTCTATTCCTCCTACCAGTCCATCCCCCACAGTTATTACCTTTTGTACCACCAGATCCTCCCTCCTAGATTGTAAGTTCCGAGTATCAGGGCCCTCCTATCCCTCTTGTATTGAACTGTATTGTTGCTGTATTGTCCCCCTTTATATTGTACAGCACTGAGCAAACTGTTGGCGCTATATAAATCCTATTATTATAATAATAATAATAATAAAAAAAGACTTTATTGCTACTTGTGCAGATTTTCAGCGATTTCTTGCAATTTGCAGTGCGATTTCCATCATATTCTATTTATGTGAAACCTCAACAAAAACTGCAGAAAAAGTAATGCTTTAGAAATCGCGCTGCAGCAAATCGCACATGTAAGGCTAGCGTTGTGTGCAGGCGGCAGTATAGCAGTAAAGCAGTAAAAACGCTTCCCAAACGCCTCTGCCAATTTTGCCCATTACAGCACATGGTGCTGTTCTAACAGGAGCGTTTGCGTCGCGTCGTGTTGCGTCGTGGCAAAATGGACGCCTCTGGTCGAGTCAGGAGGCGTTGAAGCCTCCTATTCTAGTCCATGGTGCCGCTCCGCAAACGCCAAATGCTATAAGGGCATTTGGCAAGCGTTGGTAAAACAGCCAAATGTGAACGAGCCCTAAGACACTGACTTTCCCATACATTAGATGCGATTTCAGGTGCAATTTCAATTTCAAGGGATGCAGACCCTGCAATTTCCTCATTAGAACCCTGCAGGTGCTGCAGCTGACTGATAATTATGAAACCACTCGCATACTGATTCACTATGCACATGGACACAGACAAACAGCTTTTTCTTCAGATTAACAAAAGGTAGGACTCTGCAACAAAGTTTGTTAAAATCCTTGCAATGTACATAGATCACCTGGAGTTACTCTTTAAAGTTTTTCCTAAAATTTTAACTAACACCAAATCAGACAGTAATTTATATAATAGGGGATGTTCAATGGTAAATTCTGGTTCATCTTCTTTTCCAGTGGTTGTCTCCCAGACGGTTCTGTATAATCCTCAGAACATTGTGACGGCTGATGTTGGTGCCACCGCAGTGATCAGCTGTGTGTCCAATGCAACTATAGAAGATGGAGCATTAATGTCCTGGTACAAAAAGAGCTTCAGACCTGCAGAAAGTCTTGTACGGGTGAAGGCCTGTAGTATGGATAATGATACACATAAATATGGATGTAAAAACTCTGCATATAGGGCAGACCTGGAGATTTATAATGTACAGATAATCGATTCCGGAATTTATTTCTGTGCATTTCATTTTGTGAATCAGCTACGATTTAGTAATGGGACAGTTCTAATCATAAGAGGTGAGATATTCGTTTT